CATAGGTATGACGAGTTGTTGTGGGTTGCGTTATAACGTGTTTTCCCGTGAGAATGAGATAATCGCACTCTCTACTAACTCCACACAAAAAATTCACACCAAACCGTCACTCTGTTTCGACGTAGGACAGACAAACAAACACACTTTCGCATGTATAATATTGGTATGGATATCAAATATTCATGCAAACCTAGCAAATATAGACCTAGGCTTTTAACTACTATGGCTGGTGATAATCTATGATGATGATGTTCTCCTAGCCGATTCCGGCCACGGCGGCCAATCTCAATCTTCCCAACTCCGGGCTGTTACTGAGACTTACTATACAGGAAGACTCAATAACTAAACTTGGCCCGACCCGGGACTCGAACCCAGGACCTCCGGGTGTGCAGCTATATTACATATGTAATCTATATTAGGTACATATATAAAAGGCAAAAGTGATTGACTGATGTATCAACGCACAGACCATACCCAGGCTTAAATTGAAATTTCGCACACATATTCCTCATATGACGCAGGCATCTACTAAAAATGATTTTTCAAAATAGGGGATAAAAGTTTGCATGAAACTTTTTATTCCTAGAACATATTTGCATGAAGTTTCGTATGAATTGAGTAAGGTAAAAATAATGAATTACGAATTTCAGCGTTTTCTAAAATTCAAACCCTAAGAGGCTAAAATAGGGGTTAAAAGTTTTCAAGAAACCCACTTTTTAGTTTTTTTGTAGTCTTAGCGCGAGCGACACCGCGGGTTCTGCTAGTCTCTACTATAATAAAACAGTAGAGGTCGCATGTCTGTACATAGCAAAAAAATGCTAAAAACCGAGTCAGGGGGACGTAAGAAGACAAATACAACAAATCCAGTTTTTTTTAATTTTATGTCTCTCTGTCTGTTTATCTGTTTGTCTGTTTGTACGGGCTAATCTCCAAATCTAATGAAATATTAAATGAAATTTTGCATGGTAGTACCTTATATTCCCGGGCAACATCTTAGATACTTTTTATCCCGGAAAATTGAATAAGTCCCGTGGGATAGTTAAAAAACTATAATAACTTATATAGCTTAGTACACAAAAACTACTGATTGGATTTTAATAAAACTTTACAATAATATAGCTCATACATGACAATAACAAATCGGCTACTTTTCATCCCGGAAAATTAAAGAGTTCCCGTGGGGCAGTCAAGAAACTATAGTAACTTATACAGCTTAGTACACAACAACTTATGCACCTAATTTAGTAAAATTTAACATTCCGATACCTTATATTGCCGGTCAAACAACAGGTTTATAGGTAATAGATCTCTATTAGTGTTTTAAAAAAAATATATAAAAAAAAATCGTTGTAAGCTGACATACTTTGCCATTAACAGGTCTTTTGTATCCAGTCGGCGCCGCATATACTAATTGAACTAGTTCAGTTATCGCTTTCCGTACTTGGATGTTGCCTTTAATTAATTGTCTATGCGAATCGGGAGCGTGAATAAATTACAATACTTGTTTTATTCATTCAATTTGTTTATTACGACTTAGTTATTTTAGCTACCGTTTTTTTCTTGCGCATGCCACTTATCATATAATTGAAACATTGGCTAAGTAAATAGGTAATTTGTTTTGACGATTCCAATGGTGTAGTGTGGTCTAAATCCGAATTGCTATGTCCATTAAGCTATAGGCAGTCTATTTGATTACCATTTGAAGTAAAAAAAAATTCAAACAAAATATACTATGACACCGTTTGGTTCATTTTAAATAAAAGAATCTTTGCGAATTCTTTCGTGGATTTATTTTGATGTTTGGTTCCCGACGTTTCGAATACTTTCACCAATGACGGGCACGGGAGAGACTAAAGTTTTAGACGTCTCAAAGATCAATATATGCTTGTTACAGACAGTGCCTACCCACAATAAAATATACGAAATGATTTTAAAAAAATCACAAATAATATTTAAATGTCAAATATTCGCGTAAATCTAGGAAAGTTCGGTTCATATTAAAGTAATTAAGATGCTAAAAATCTTATGTACAAATTTAATTGAAGGATGAACGCGAATAGCAGTCATGTTCTCTTTAAAAACCCTCACAAAAGAATTCACGACAACTTTGGCCCAATACTTCAGCTTAAAATTATAAGAGAATTTACGAAGATAAAGTAAATTTTCAAGTTGTGTTTTTAGGGCTACCAACTCCAGCGACCAAGTTGTTCATGTTATGTAAAGACATTTAAGAAAAGGCCTATTATCTCAAACCTATTATCTCAAATCTATACTAATATTATAAAGAGGTAAGGTTTGTGAGTTTGTGACGTTGTAGGGGGTAATCTCTAGATCTACTGAACCGATTTAGATAAAATTTAGTAAGAAGATAGTTTGAGACCCTGTGAAGGACATAGAATACTTTTTATCCTGGAAATCATCCCTTAAGGGGGAGAAAATGGGGATGAAAGTTTGTATTGTAAAAGAAGCTAGGGACGAACCCAAGCGAAGCGAGGGTGAGTCGCTAGTCCTATATAAACAAGCAAAAATCAACTCTTAGTTATTATATAATATAGGTATGTACTTATATAATGTATAAAATATATACAAAATACTTATTTAATAAAATATTTATGGATATATACAATATACATATAGCATAAATGTATATACAAAAAGTATGTTTAGAAAGCATAAAAGCAATGTAAATACTAAATAGGCATTTGTCGATAAATATTTCATCAACACTAGTATCTCAGTTATATATATAAAATATTTCGCTGAATGGTCGAGAAGATTCTATTTAACATCGTTATATACGAGCTCCTTCGGGACACGACCTATTTCATAATGAAAAACTGATATACCCAAATCAATTTAGCGCTATTGTCGTATTAGAAGCACTAAAGTTCTATCTATCGCTGAGATAGCTTTCTCTCAATACATTCCCGAATAATTTTCACTTTTAGGTTTTTCAAATCTATACAGATAATGTCGAAATAACACCTTTTTACTAAATGGATGTAAAAGTATATTGGTATTTGGTACTAATAAGAAAACAACATTTTTTTTAAATTGTGTCTGTCTTAGATCTGTTTGTTCCGGCTAATCTCCTAAACGGCTGGAACAATTTAGACGGAACTTTCACTGGCTGATGTTATAAGGAGTAACATAGGCTTACTTTTATTTTAGAAAAATGATTAGGGTTCATCAGGCGCAAAAAAATTAAAACTCATGAGATTGTGAACAAACTCCGCGTACCCAGGGACGCATCCGAGCAAAGCGTGGGTATGTCGTCTATAAGTTATACAAAAAATAAAAAGAGTTTTTAATGTCATTAATAAAATTTGTTTCTTTTTAATGTCATTAAAAAAAGTGAACATTGTATAAAATGTTGGTAACAATGAATCTATTTTTTTATTCTTTATCACTTTCTTAGGTTAAACGGTTACGTAAAACACTAAGATAAAATTCCTCTAACAACTAATGTCACATGTTTTGATAACACCAATCCATACTAATATTATAAAAGTGAAAGTGTGTTTGTTTGTTTTTCCTTCTTTCACGTGCACGAAACACGGAATGACGTATTGACGTAATATTTTGTGTGGATATAGTTGGAATCCTGGAGATTATCTCATTCCCACGGGAAAACACGTTATAATACAACCCAAAAAAATATTTATGGTCAGAATTACTTGAAACTTGGTATTAATGCTCTTCAATACAATTAAATAAATACATGTTTCAGAATTTTTCAAAATTCATCTCATAAGGCAATAAAATAGGGAATTTAAGTTTGTATGAAACCTACCTTTTTAGATGTATTAGCGCGAGCGAAGCCGCGGGTTCTGCTAGTAACAATATATTTTAAAGTTCACAGTCTAAGTGTAGAACAAAATACATACTTTTGAAACCTTGTTCGGTCTCAATACAACAACATAAATTTAATAACTACTGTGTTGGTTAACTGTGATCAAGCGAAATATGTAGAACTCTTCAAAAAGAAACAATTAATAAAATCAAAGGTTTTACTGGAGAATCCATTGAAGAATCCCACTATCCACCATCTGGCCTCATCATCAGATCAGCTTGATATAGTTGAATTTAGTATAAAATAGGAGAAAAAAAGTTTTTTGTGAATTGTCTTTTTTCTTAACGGGAAAACGAAGCTGTACTAATCTTATAGAACTATTGTAACATTTTTACTTTCTACAATGTACAACCAAATTTTTTTTACTTATAAGTTATGTATATACAAATTATACATCCGAAATAAATATAATCTTTAAAAAATATATAAAAAGCATTATTAATGATTTGATACATAATATAATAACATAATGTATCCTGTTGAATTAACTAATTTATGAAGTTAATTATGAGATAATTATATTCTATTGACGCATATATTAAGGAAATTAAACATGTTTTCAATAGCTTTAAGAGTGTAGGGGATTTTATTAAGAACTATTCATCACACACAGAAATAAAAACAAAAAATATTATTATATATAAAATAAGTCCATACAACATTAAAGACTATAAGGGATAGAAATCAATATTTTTTTGCTTATAACCAAAGGCAGTAAAATTTTGTTATGTTCTAAAATAAATTAGATACTTTATAATGAACACAGTAATGACACCATATGCAAACAACACTGAGAGCATATAAACAAGTCTCCAAATAACAATTAAGTACCTAAAATTGTATATTAAACTCCACAGCTGATTATACATAACTGTGACTAATGTTTGAGGTGCTATCACTTTATATTTATTTACCTTGCGCTCGACGAGACATACGATGTTACGAGTTACGTTCATACCCGTAACGCGATTGATCAACTTTATTAGTGTATTAAATCCGCTGATAGTTACTAGGTCAATGAACCATCTCTGTTTACAAATTGCACAGTAAACAAAGTTCACGCACGACTTCAGACCGTCTCGAATACAGCCCAGAACCGCTCATGAATAATTCGCAAAACTAATTTAAATTGTAAATCACTACGTACCCTCTCTGGCTTTCAAGTAGACAGTGTTGGCTACGATATTTTCTAATTCCATCAGTTCCAGTGTGGCGGATTTTAAAGTAGACTCTCCGGGAAGCTGGTATCCGCCGTTGCGGCCGATCTGCCGCCGTCGCCGCGTGCGAAAAGCCGCCCATCAATGATCAACGCGCGTTCTTACACAAAACTTAACACAACACACCATCAGCTCAGTCACTAGCAAGTAAACACTTATGAGTGACCGCGGGAGACACACAGCCCTCGAAACGTAACCACGCACACGATCACGGATTTACGATCTCTTACAGGGGTGTGACGACTCAAACACAGCTCGCATTTCAGTTTTGTAATAGCAAATGACTATCTATACTCATTAAAGTTACAAAAGCTTGATATGCCGATCAGTTTCTTTCAGTTCTGTTACGCAGCACACGCCCCGGGATCGTAGAGTTATTGACGACAGATAGCGATACGCTACAAATGACCACAACCTCAATGTACGGTACAATTCCAGTTGCCATATCTTAAAAACTGCTTGCTACCACAAATATATAAGTTTTTTTGTGTGATTTTTATATAATATGTAGGTGTAAATAAATTTTGTATTATTTATTACTTTACAATTGAAGTGGTGTTTGTATTAATTATAAAAATAGATCATTTCTTAGCCTTATTAAATACCTATTTATTTTTTAAATTTTAGGATTTTTTTCTTATTTTTTTGATATTCTTTTTTGCTTTTCAATTTCTTGATTTGTATTTTGACACCAGGAAGCTTATAGCAATATCTTTAGGGCAATATTAAATAATTTAAAAATGCCATCAATTCTAGAAGAATTCTAGTTTAGTGAAATTATGCCACTATATTATTATATTTCAATATTTCTCAATTTATATATTATTCAATGATCTAGTATCTTACTTTTGCAACATAATTTAGTAATGAAAAATTATACTTTATTTAGTGTTTCATCATAATATAAATAAATACAAATTGTTTGTAATAAATAAGCTATGCAGGTATTCGTATATACATGTATTATTATGTACATAAACAAGTTTATATTTTATAATGCATAATTATTTTGTTTTAATTTTAGTTAAAAAATTTACATATTTATTTTTTACGAAATACATATTCCTAATTTGGTACTTAATCTTACTATATGGCAATTATATATCTGTCAATTTTTTACAATTATGCCAACATTAAATACATATTACAAATTACGTTTAAAAATATTCCTTCATATAGAAAAATTGCTTTTTAAAATAAAAAGAATTTTATAATACATTTAATGCGGTTCACGTGATAACTTTTTTTTGTGAAATTTATTAATTTATATTATACAGTTTTTTAAAGAAATGTTTCTGTCAACATTTAAACTTCAAAGTCAGCTGGTTATTGTTAATGTTATTACTTTTTGGCATAAAAGAACTATTTCAGTATATTGGTTATAGGTTATATTAACTTTAACACATGTTTGAGTATTTTAAAATAGTTAAATTAATAAAAATGGATACAAAACCTTGTAAAGTTTGTGGTGGCACTGACTTAAGTCTCGTAGATGGCTTTTATTACTGCGTGGAATGTGGAACCCAAGATGTTGAGGCCAGAGAGACTGTTGTAGAACAGACCATTCTTGCTGATGGTACCTTCGCCCATACTACCACAAGAAAATTAACTACAATATTAAATAATTCACTTGAAAGTAAGATACATACATACTTTATTGAATTTTTAATTCTACTATATTAAATATTTTGTATAATTTTGTTTTATTCTATTTACAGTGAGTGGAGAATGGATGAAATGGCATGCTTATAATTTTATACTCGCCGGTTTAACAGAAGAATTGATAGCAGTGGGAGCTAAGACAAGTGTTAAGATGGTAGTGTTGTGGATCTGGACCAAATATATAAAAATGTTTCAAGATAAAGAAGCTTTGAGGTGACATTCATATCCTCTTTTTTGCTATTTCCTATTTTTAACTTTGCACCTGTTAAAGTTGCCACATAAACATTTTATTCTAGGAATATAGCCTCAATTTGTGGTATATAAAACTAAGACAAACAAAATACTCGAATATGTAGTACTTGATGATACAATATTTTTTTTATTATTTGTAATGTATAACTCGCGTCATCTAAAAAAGTTATATATAATAAAAGTTTTATAATGGTCTCATTATGTAATTTTGTAAACTGTTAGTCTAATACTTCCATCTTTTTTTACAGGAATAAAACTCACTTTGAAAACGGGAACTTATTTGAAACAAATGAATTTCAAAAAGAAATTTTAACAGATAGCAACAGTACAGAAAGCGATGAAGAAATTTACAAATCAAAAAAAAGAAAGACTAAAAAAAAAGATAGTGATAAATTTAAAAGAGACATAATAATAGTGACTAAAGGAACTTTATTAACTATCCTATATGTTGCATTAAATTTAGACAGAAGTGATATTCAACTCTCGCATTTATTCAGATTCATTAAAGAGGGAAGGTTAAGTTTATTTAATTGCGCTAAGTTTGTCCCAAAAGAAATAAACATGAAGTCGATTCCACACTGGAAAAGTTTTGTTCTTTGTAGAAATGATTATACACCAAAAGTCATTAGAGCATTTGCTATGACTTTCTTTAAGCGTCTAGACTTAGGTGTGCCTCTAGTCCCTGATTTAACTAAAATGATATCTAATTTTACTAAAGAACTATGTTTACCAAATGATTTTAAACATTTAGTTCTGTCTCTTATGGATCTCATGCCGTGTGATTTCCTTAAACTAGATTCTCAATCCAAAAAGACTCTCATACGTATACCAGATTATGAGGGTGTTTGTATGTCTTATATGCTTGTAGCCCTTAAAATGTGTTTTGGTCTTGACTGTGATTATGAAATAAGGCTTTCTAATGAAGTTGATAAAATAAATAATGAAAAGAATCACTTGAAATCCTATAAACTTGGCCTCTATTCTGATTTATCAGATAGATTGTTTTCATATAATGAATGGTATCAATATTTACAGTTCAGAAAAATGATTCTTTGCAAAAACTACTTACCTATGGCGCGAATATACAATTTACATGTTGATGATTGTGTACTTATGGAACAATTAGAAGACCGAGGTCCAAAGAAAATGAAGTTAAGTGACGATGTAACTATGGATATAATAAATAAGATCTTAGTGAATAATGAAATATCTGTGATCTCCAAAAACGAATTTCCAAGCACACTTACCCCAATGACTACTTACACTGAAGTAATATTGCAATACATTCAGGACCCAGATATGAGGCTACTTCTTTGTGAGGACTTTACTCAGTATTCTCTAAAATATGCCATAAATCAATTAAGACTACCAGATTCTACAGATGATTCAACAAACTTCATTATAGGTGTTAGAGACACAAATAAAACCATTAATCCTTTTGTGATTGGAACATTGAAATCAAAAAAAGGAGATAATACAATGGTCTTTGTAAGGAATTGTGAGAACAGAAACTGGCTTAAAACTAAGCCTCCATCTATTGAACATGTTACCAAGCTCAATGATAATAAGAAAAATAGCGATAAAGAAAGTGATAATGGCTATGAATCTAATCTAGACTGTACTCCAGTCGAGAGTGATGAGACACAACTTAAGGAGGAATCGGAAAAAGACCACGTTGCGGAAGAAAGAGTTCTTGAAACTATTGAAGAAGAAGATGATGGTGTAAATATTTTTGATGACTATTTCACAAGTTTAGATGAAAAAAATGAAGAAGAAAAACATGGAAGAAGTGTGGTCGATACCGTCGAAGGTTTCAACAATTTCTATGACAGCAATATACACATGCAAGATACCTTTAATGATGACTCCAATAGTATAGAAAACGAAGAAATTTTCGATCCAAAAACGTTTGACAGACATAAAGTCATAAATGAATTAATAGAAATAGCGTGTAAGAAATACAAAATACCAATTCCAAAACAAAATGGAACACGAGAAAGAACAACAACTAAAAGAAAAAGGAATGACAATAACGTTCAAATCGATGTTAATAAGAGAAAGCGAAATGATGAAGAAGCTAATAATGCAAAATTAGCTGTTAAAAGTCTTATTTCAGCCTATTATGAAACAATCGAAAAAGACGCACTAGCTAATGTAATAGAAAATGTTAGATCCTATATAGACAATATCAATGAAGAGGGTTTAAATAACACGAGTACAGTCAGTAATGCTAACAACGTTAGTAACATACAAGATAATGAGATGGAAAATGAAAATAACACACAGAATTATACGAACAATGAAAGTAATGGGAACGATGACGTTAATACATCTGTTATTAGCAGCATTCACCCAAGCTACACATTAAACGATACAAATTTAGAAGAAGACGACACTCTCGACGAATCAGTTGTTAAAACCGATCCAAAATTTGATACGAAGACACACGATATAAAACAGTTATACATAAAATTAAACGAAGATCTAGATTTAGATGAAACTTTTAATATTGAAGATGATGTAGAAATTGAAAAAATAATACAAAAGAAAATAGAAGAGTTTGCGAACAACGAAAATATATATGAAAATTTGGCAGATGTTAAGAATTTTGATGGTAGTGATTCTGAAGACGACTTGCCTCTTAGTGAATTAGCAAATCAAAAGAAATCTTATACAGAAAGGCGAGATAGGTCAAACGCTAAGTTGGATAATTTAGTAGAAAATACGGATTTAAAAGAGTTTAACTACTGGGTAAAGCATTACAAGTCACGACTGATGAGATGTGTAGACATGAATCAAAAATTTGACTTAGAACTAATGAAAAATTGCCCAGTAAGCTTTGTATTCGTGATACACGAATGTGCAGCCATTTTAAATTGTACAACTTTCAGTCTTTACAAAAGTATGCAGTATTTAGAAGAAATTATGCTGAGTTATAGGACTTAAAATTCAAATGGCAGTTACGATATTTATTTATTAACAAATAAGATAAATAGATAAGGTTAATTTGTTTTTATTGCACCAGGAGCAAAGAAATATTGTAAAAAAGGAAATTTTCTGAACGCTCCGTTATTCTTTTAGTCTCAAAAGTGGTGTTCTTTGAACAGTCCAAGTAGATTATATACTACGATCACCATGCATGCACCATTGTGTACCTATATTAAATGTGATATTAATCTATACTAATATTATAAAAAGGTAAATTTTGTGAGTTTGTGAGGTTGTAGGGGGTACTCTCTGGATCAACTGAACCGATTTAGATGAAATTTGGTAAGAATGTAGTTTGAGAACCTGGGAAGGACATAAGACTTTTTATCCCGGAAATCATCTTTTAAGGGGGTGAAAATGAGGATGAAAGTTTGTATGGGGAATTAAGGTACGAACCTGAGCGAAACGAGGGTGACCCGCTAGTAATTTATATTAAACTAGTTCTTGGCCGCAGGCCCGCTCGTGTACTGGGTAAAATAAACAAAAATACATTTGCATGTTATCTTTTTTCCGAATTGCTTTGTCATTTAAAATATTATCGTGATGCGTTCGTTGTCTTTCTAATTAATGTGTTTAATTTAAATGTAAATCATACTTTAGTGTATGGAGTCTGTTCTACAGACTACATGTTATCTTTTCTTAGATAACGATATACGATCTCTTAATATTATGTCGTACTTGTAAAGTACTGTTTATAAAACATTTTTTTTTCTTAAAACGAAAATAAAACTTTTGATTTCATCTAAAAAAGTATCTATGTTATTTACTTTTATTTAATAAGCACTAATCGTGTCTAAATAACTCATTTTAATTTATATAATTATTTACATACGTCATTAATCTAACGATACCTTAATTAAACAAAAACCATCGAGTGGTTTGGAAGATATGAGGGAACAAAGAATATTACAAGCAAACAATCATACAAAGATAGGCGCGAAAAACATAACCCTTTCCTTGCAGTTAGGTAAATAGTTGCCAGCGACTCTTGGTCAGCGTAATATGGTGCCTTTGTAGAAATGTAATAAATATTATATCAATTGTCGGCAAGTCTATACTCCGATACACACTTAGCCAATTTTTTCCGGTGGCTATATAACCACAACCTTTTTGGAGGTCTGGATCCGTGCTTGCTTGTGGGATAGAGGATAGATTTATGATAATTATACTATCGAGTATTGTAGCTAGACCTCAAAACTAGGGTACTTATTTAGTCTTAAAATTAAATACCTTTCCTTTTGACGAAAATCATCGTGGGTTCGGGTACATTTGTTTTTAATTTTTTAATTTATAGTGTAAACTTTTTTATAAAATGGATATAATCCATGGTCGGTGTTCTATCAAATTTTCAAATTTCGAAGTTTCTATTGTATTCGAATTTTTGTGTGGAGACGTGCTCGCTATAAGGTTTCCCTTGTGTTTTCACATAATAAAACTAAAATGTTTGGGAAAAACTTATTAAATATACTGCGTAGACCATCGGTCCAGCCAAGTATCTATCGTGTCCCAAGGCGAAATTTCGCGCAAGTTGGTATGGTTATATCTACACCTCCGAGATATCCTTGTTCCTATGGCGTAAGTAATTTGTAATAAACCCAATATTGCGTAATTTTAAATATCAATATACCTCTATTCATACATACTTGGAAGCAATTATTAATGATAAAAAAACTAATAAGTTAAATTAATCATAAATAGAAATCATTCAACATACAATTGTTTTTTTTGTTTCAGGAAAAGTTGTTACATATTTTATTCATGTACTGCTTTTGGTTGACTCCTATGGCCTATTTCTTAACTCAAATAAAAGTCTGGCGCCGACAATATATCAATTAAAATAAAGTAACAAATAATATGATACCTATTTGATTGCGTTATTTTCTCTAATGTGTATATACAATTCCTTTTTCATATGCGAAATATATATTTAATTGCATATAATATTCATTTATTGAAGAGATAGTTTTATATATTTTATTTGAAGAATATTATAGATCTAGTTAAACGATTAGGTCAGAACTTGTGCTTTTTTTGAGTTGCGTTAAACTTGTTCTTCAAAGAAAACATAACTGCCTGCTGCCAACCATTTGACAAGTAGTGCTGCCACCTTGACAAGTGACAACCAAAAACACTTAAAAATTACAGTTTTGAGTTTTGACAACTAATGAACTAAGCCTGATTTTGTTTACTAAATAGGTACTATAATCTTCATATTTTTTAAATGCTTATTTTAAAAAATATTGAAAATGAAAGAGTCTAAACAAGCACAAACACCTATAGAAGACCTAGCAGAATTAAGAAGCTACTTCGCAAGTCACAATGTCGTCCGGGAATACATAGCTCATAGCTCTAAAGTGCATTCTGTAGGTTGGTCTTGCGATGGTAGACGATTAGCCTCAGGATCTTTTGATAAAAGTGTAGCAATTTTCAACTTAGAAAGAAACAGACTAGTGAGTACGAGAGTATTATTATAATTTGCTTGCTAAAAAATATTTAAGGTTAGAAGCGTTTGTTTTGAAAACTAGAATAACATAATAAGTTTTATTGCATCCTAATTAATAAAGCCTTTGTGATATATAGGTTCAAGATTTCATTTTCAAAGGGCACACAGGATCAGTAGACCAATTATGTTGGCATGCATCTCATCCAGATTTGTTAAGTACAGCTAGTGGAGATAAATCTGTCCGGATATGGGATACACGGTTTGTCGGTGTTTTAATTATATAATATTGGAGAAAATAAAGTGTGCGGCTTTTTTTATTTCTATATATAAAATTTATTTATTTTCTTGGTTAACAAAACAAGTTCATTTTTAGTTTTTCATTTATAGATCACATAAGTGTGCAGCAGCAATATCAACAAAAGGGGAAAATATAAATATTGCCTGGTCACCAAATGGAGCGACCATTGCTGTAGGGAATAAGGAAGACTTAGTGTCTTTCATTGATGCTCGGAATTATAAAGTGGTATGTTTACTTGAACAACAAAAATACAATATTATTAAATTCATTGTTTATCATTGTTATAGGTTTATACTGTCTATATATTACCATCAAATATATATACTCCTTTAGTATTGCTATAATAGGACCAAATATATTTTTACAGGTTGTTGAGGAGCAGTTTAACTTTGAAGTGAATGAAATCTCCTGGAGTAGCACCTCTGATCTTTTCTTTTTGACAAATGGATTAGGTTGTGTTCATATATTGACGTGAGTGAAATAGTCAAAATATTTAGTTATAATATTAATAAAATAGTATTCAATTAAATATTATAATGAACTAGTTTGTGACTCTAAATGTAGGCAGTAAACGGCTGATTTGAAATTCTTTCATTAGCACAATGAGTTGTTGTGGGTTGTATTATAGTGTTTTTCCATGGGAATGAGATAATCTCCTGTGGTAAAAAGTAACCTATGTTACTCTAAAGCCCTTTAACTATCTCCACACAAAAAATCACATCAATCCGTCACTCTGTTTCGATATGAAAGAAAGACAAACAAACACACAAACATATACACTTTCATATTTATAATATTAAGTATATATAGTTTTATTATTATTATTACAGGTACCCAGGCTTAGATCTCCAAACAGTTCTTAAAGCACATCCCGGTACATGCATCTGTATTGAGCATGACCCCACCGGCCGGTACTTTGCCACAGGCTCTGCTGATGCTCTAGTTTCTTTGTGGGATGTGAATGAACTGGCTTGTTTAAGAGTGTTTTCTAGGTAATATATGATTTGGGAATAATATTTCAGTATAAAAATCCATAAAGTAGGGTAATTTTTTTATTCTTAAGATACATTGTCACATGGGTTCAGTGAGTCAGGTTCTTTTGTTGACATATTTGGCTCAGTTTGTAGTGACTTGTTGTGCCAGCGGTCGCGGGTTCCAGCCCGCCATTCATTTGTGTGATGAGCACAAAAGTTTATACTCCAGTCATATTTATAATATGTATGTATTTAAAATTATATATGTGTAGTGTATGAACAATCTGGTATCCATAACACATGCCTTGACCTTACCATGGAATTAAATTGTGCTGTGTCGTGCATGCAATGTGTCGTCGAATATTCTATCTATATCTGTATATAAGTTTAATATACTTCCATTATATAAATACGAAATTTTTGTTATTTTCAGCTTATTGGTTTTTATTATTTATTTTAAACTTTACTGTTCAGATTAGAATGGCCGGTGCGGACCCTCTCGTTTAGTTTCGACGGCCGCCTGCTCGCGTCCGCGAGCGAGGACCACATCATTGATATTGGAGATACTGAGACTGGTAATATTATATACATTTCACTGTATATTATAAAATAAAGTTCCCTGCTGGAGTCTGTCTATCTGTCTGAATGCGATAAACTCAAAAACTACCAAAAGGTTTTCATATGGTTTTTACTAATAGATGGAATGATTCATGAAGAATTCGCTGAAATATGACAATGATTGTTGAAGCAATTATAAATTTTAATTCATCAAAGATTAACTGTGTGATTTTAATGATGTTTGACACATTTAACCTTAAAACAGTATAAAATTTTCCAACCAGCTTGTAAAAGTAGGTAACAACTACTATTTAATACTTATACTTTCCACAGGTGAAAAAGTAGCAGAGATTCCTGTCCAAGCAGCGACCTTCACAGTGGCCTGGCATCCCTCCCGCTACCTGGTGGCCTTCGCTTGTGAGGACAAGGAGCCTCCAGAGAGGAAACGGGATGCTGGTAACCTCAAACTGTGGGGACTCAGCAATAGCTAGTGCAGTGATGTGTCAGTGATTGAGTGTTTTAGTTAATAAATGAGTGAACTGTGTTTGTTTTGTTTTTTTGGATATACCTTTGCTTTTATTTATATGTATTTATATTTTTTCAATTTTTTTAGTATCAAGATGTTATATATTATATATATATATATATTTTGCACATGGTTAATATTTACATAATATAAAAATGAAAGTTGGTATTAATTTTACATTTAATCATTTAAAAATATAATCTATCTTGTACATTTTTTCAGTATAAAAAGTAACTATTCCAGACTATAATCTACCTCTGTGCCAAATTTCACCCAGATCTGTTCAGCCGTTCTGGTGTGATTGATCCATCCGAACTTTTTCATTAACATCTACATTTATAATATTTATAGATGGGATAGTGGTCATCAGTTATTTTATATTTTGTGTAGTAATTCTAATACTACTTCACCACAGACAATATTGTAATGTCTTTGTACTAAGCATGGAAATGATTGCTACTTTTAAATCATTATCACGTGATGAAATTACAACAATTTTTCACGTGATTTCACCTGCTACTTTTCACGCATAGATTTTTGATTTCGACGGTCTGGTGTCACACTTTATATTATTTGCTATTAAAATGAAGTATGAAATGTCACCAATGGCGCTACTGATGTGATATGGAGCAGAGATATAGATCTGACGTAGTTGCATACGTACATGGTGCTTTGAATGAACCTATTTTCAAACAATGAACTTTCCCTCATACTTCTACAAGCTTGGGACTGACAATGTAAAATTAAATGAATTTTAAATATATCAGAGTAATCACACGGTAAAATTGTATTAAGCTAAGTTCCATAATTACATTGGCGTATTTAAAAGTTCATTGTTTTTATGTACAATAAGAATTTTTATAAAAGAATTTTATACACTTTTTTTTGTTTTTCTTAATTTTTTTAATTTGTGTATAATCATTTTTTTTGCTTTTTGATTTTTTTGATGATTGATTTTTTTATGAGATATCTATATACAATAGTCTTCATTGCTTTTTAAAAATACAAGTTCCGCTGTTCGTTTTCTGCTTAATCGTGCTCTTTTTTGGGTTGCAAAATTTCCCGCTTTTGAAAATACTCTCTCACACTCCACTGATGTCACCACGATGTGACAGTGCTCATGAAATATTTCCGCCAAATTGGGGTACATATAGGAGTGAGATTTCCACCAAACTAATGGCGAAGAATCGCGCGGAAGCACTGGTTCATTAATTTCTAGCTCGTTCTCAGCGTTGGTGGTTATGTCTGTACGTATTACACATAATCATTCAGTAAAAATTATAAGTATTTGTTGGATAAAAAACTAAAAATGTGCTCTAAATTTAATTGTTGTTTCTAATTTAAAATTATTTCTAAACAATATTTCTAAGAATCCGAAATCATTCAACTCGAAATAAATAAACTCCCCAATTTACTGATCAACGGTATTAACTGAAAATTGTATTTTGTTGAATAAAAAATCAATAAAAACATCAGTACGAAAATATATACGGAAAATGCGAGTAACGAAATGCATTCGTGAGTAACGTTTCGGTACTCGGTACTAGATGGCGTACCCGTTACTCAGTAACGAATACATACGGTTTGCTACAGCTCTAGATTTCACCAAGTTGTGATTTGTAGCAGCCACTATGAATTTAAGTAGCAGGTGTGACGTATGATTACGCATTTCACGTGATTTTTCACTTGCTACTCGTGAAATGTTCCATCCCTACTTTGTACTTCACGAAAAATCCCTTTCTCCAGGTTAAAATTTTCATGCTTTCGCCGCCAACGCCATGTATGAAAACGATGCACAAAATCGACGTCTATTTTTTTTATCTAAGATTTATTACAATCTCATTTAAGAACGCATTTTTCTTTATTCATTCATTTATTGTTTACTGAACGCAATTATTTTTTTTTATTTTCCTTTACCAAGAATCGGCTTTTGTTTAAGCCAAAATATACTTTATTATTGTTTTAACATAAATTTCAATTACGAATGGATAAATTTAACGCCATCTGTTGACATTTAATTGAACTGATTGTTCTTGTTTCTGAACAGAATTCGCCGCCAGAGAGCGCTAGTGTAGAGTGAGGTCTAGTACTCTCAAATGTCACTAAATGTTTACTTTTTGTGAATTTTTCTTCGCGGATTTTCACTAATTATTCATGATTATTGTAAACACTGTGCTATTCTTGATTAATTATGACAGACACGGTACGGTTCAACAAATGTTATTGTTTTAAAATAAGAGCTTTTAAATTTTTGGTTTTAATGTATCAATTATGTAAAACAAAATCCTGAATAAACTGGTGCCGTCCTAATAATAATATCTTAAATTTATGTCCCAGCCGCACTAAAAATACTTTTTTAACAACAGCGATAGGACCTCACTAGCCAGTGGCGCCAACTGTGCATCGTTAAAATTTTACTCTCATAGTTGTTTCCAAACGATAATTAATTTTTTTTGTTTGCATAATATTTAACACCATTCAGACAAAGAAAGACAATAGCATTCCCAAGGAGGGTTGACGTCAGGCAGGCGGCCGGTCGTAAAACTTTTGCCAAATCCTATCAACAGTACACTGAAGATGTACTGCGCCGACCCCAAGTGATTTGGGAAATGGGCAGGGAGAAGAAGAAGAAGTTGTTTCCAAACGTGCCAAAAGAAGTATAAATTCAATAATACAAGCGAGGAAAAATAAAATAAGGAATTTTCCAATCCCTGTTAATAAAATTGGAAATTAATTAATTACTTATTTTTCTTAGGTACTCCAGATATTTGTCGTGTTATTTCATATTTGAAAAATAGTGAGGCGTCATTGGATAAAATGCAGTTGTATGGAGATAATAAGCGGATTTAATTTGTTTTAAATATACAGCAGATATCCAACTTAAAAACACCAAGCTTTACTAAGCAACATAAATAAAAAAATATGAAGACTGTGATATATTTGGAATCATTTTACTTTGTAGAACAAAATGAAATAAACTTTATTCAATTTGACTTATTATAATCACTTTTAATATAAGAATATTTCCTATATCTACAGCAAAGACTTAGAAACAAAACACGTTATTAATATATTACATAATTTATTTACAATTAAAACACCATTTAAAAACGAATTACATGTCTTCAGGACTTCAAAAAAAAATCATGAAATATCATCTATACTTATTATAAAAATAAGTCCCCCGGCCGCGTCTTTCTGTCCTCCTGTCTGTCCTCCTGTCTGTCTGTACGCGATAAACTCGAAAACTACTGAACGGATTTTTATACGGTTTTCAACAATAGAAAGAGTAATTCTTGAGGAAGGTTTAGGTATATAATTTATTATGCTTTTATGTAAATTAGCTGAAATACGGCGACAAATGTTGAAGAGGTCGCAAAAAATCTCGCCAAATGGGAACTTTCCACGCGAACGCCGCGTAAACTAGCAAAGATACAGTTAAGTAATGTACTAGAGAATTCAAAATCTATAAAAATGCTACAAAAAAGTCCGCGATAGCATATCTCTATCTCTTACGGTTGACTTACAATAACCACTTTTATGTTAACATTTTTAATTAAAAACATTACGTTATTTTCAAAGTTATTTTCTTTAGTTCGGTATTAATCCTTATCCAAATGAATATTTTAGTTAGCTTAGTCATTTAATGCAGATTAAAATTGCTCTTTACACTAAATCAATCAGATGAATAGTTTTTGAGATATCGTTGTTAGAAGTAATTAGTAGCGAAACATTTTTAATGCTTGGCGAGCATTGAGATGCCTACGGCGAGTCCATCCCCTCTGCCCCGCATCGCTCGACCGCCTGCTCAAGCTATATAAACCGGGCGATGTAGCGCGCGATCCTAGGATACTTTTTACCGCGGGAAAATATCTTATTTCTGAGGAAAAATACAAAAACTGCAATGTAAGAGTATACTAATATGTAACACCTAAGAATTTAGTTTTTGGTCATCTGAACGCGGGCGGAGCCGCGGGCAATGCTAGTTATGAAATAAAAAATTCTGCGATCTTTGCACAATATGTTATATTCTCTAGCACTTTCTACTTTTGAAGTCGGTTAACATCAAAGTGAACATTCACCAAGTCTCAACTTGTAATCTATTATTTTTCTCCATATCTTTTATCATTTCTTTGGCTTTATCCATCTCAAGACTTCCACATTCATTAGCAACTTGAACGAAAGCGTCTCGAACGTTGTCGGGCATGTTTTTAGAGGTTCCAGATATGAAAATTAATGCGCCTTCATCGTTTATAAGACGCCATAACGACTCTTTATGTTCTATTATTTTATGTTGAACATATCTGAAAAATTAAATGTACTTATTAAATTTAATTTTTGCCATATTATGACTATAAGCATTAAATAGCCTTTGAATTAAAGCAAACATTTTCATAATACATACATACACATGCACGTATACACGCACGTACGCATACATATACACACGTACACACATACACACATACTAACTTTCGCACATATAATTAGTGGTCCGATAAAACTCTATTTTTAAATGACGTTAACACTGAATTGCAATATTGTTTCCAGGATTTCATTACGTTAAAAATAAATAAAATATATTACATTTTATTTTCTTGATCTCTCGAGAAGGCACAGTACAATGTCACTTTGCCCTTTGCTTCCAACTGTTCCAACTCCTCCTTGCAATGGAAATCTTTACTTTTGTACCGACAACCAAAGAAAAGGTGTAATGTGTTTTTGCTGGCTGTATTAAGGAACACCCTTTCACTAATTAAACTTCTGAAGGGTGCTAACCCGGTCCCGGGGCCTATAAATATCTGAGGGATATTCTGAAATAATATGAAGAAAAATTAGTAATACATTTAAATTTCATTAATACATAATATTTTCTTAGATTTACGCGAATACTTGACATTTTAAATAAAACTATCTTTTCGGTTTTTTTTGCGAATTTATTTTCATTTTTGGTTCCCGACGTTTCGAATGCTTTACAGCAATCATGTTCACGGGAGAGACTGAGGTGTTAGATGTCTCTTAGGTAATATATAGTTGTTACAGACAGCTTAGTGACCTAGTGACCATGATTGCTGTAAAGCATTCGAAACGTCGGGAACCAAAAATGAAAATAATTTCGCGAAAAGTCCGAGAAGATAGTTTTATTCATTAATACAATTAAAAAAATACTAGGTATATAAATGCGAAAGTTTGGATGGATGGATGTTTGTTACTCAATCACGCCAGAACGGCTGAACGGATCTGGATGAAATTTGGCACAGAGATAGATTATAGGTTAATATAGGTCTGGTACCGCACATAGGCGACTTTTTATCCCGGATGGAACAAAAAGTATGGATTAACAGATTAGATAGATTTGTATTTGTTTTTCTAGAAAAACTCGAGCAAAGCGAGGGTGCGCCGCTAGTAAGAAATAATATATTTTTAATTACAACTTTTAATGACTTTTATAGTGATTATTCCATCCAAGGGCCTGGAATCTTATGTTGAAAAAAATATCTGTCCAAATATATAAGGTAAAGAATTGCAATAAAAAAAATATATATAAGTATAATCGGTTCCAAAGAAGATTACGAATAAAACTAGAATTGAATAACTTTTACTTTTAAATAAATTTACATCCTATTTTAATCTTAATTTATAGATATATAGATTTAAATGAATTTTATTTAAATTCCATCCAAAAACGACAAAACTTACCATATCTGTTGCAAACTTGAAAGTACCATTTTTAATCCACCCATACACTGTATCACCTACATTCAGATTTTTAAGCCAATTCGAGGCAAGACCAAGTCTAGGTTTTTTTAACTTTGTGTGATATTTAACAACTGCAATCAAAAGCTCTAATTCCTTTCCTTGAGACACTAAGCCACTGCTAGCTATTGAAAACGACCTGGGTTTGATCGTTGGAAACAACTCGAATAGTATTTCTATTGTTAATTTTGATGCTGATTTGTGGAAGTCGTGGAGCACCTGAAACGTTAAACTCATTTATAAAGCTCTTATTTTTATAGTTCCGTATTCGAAGCGTACCAACGGAACCCTGTTACTAAGTCTCCGCTGTCCGTCCGTCTATCTATCAGCGAGCTGTATCTCATGAACCGTAACAGTGAGTTGAAATTTTCACAGAGTGTGTATTTCTATTAACTTTATTACATACTATGACTATGAGCTAGAGTGACAAAAAATGTTATCTATACATATAATAAAATAGTGACTTTTTGATATCTGTACATGAAATATTTTTTAATCTAGTGTACAGAATATAGATAGACCCCAAAATAATATTTTTGTCTGTTTATCTGCATGTTTGTCTGTCTGTTTGTGTGTGCGCATTTCACGTAAAAAGTACTGAACCGTTTTTTACTACATTTTGAGTAGTGATAATTTATTACTCGGGTCAACATTTATGATATCTTTTACTGCAAAATCTTTCATTCCCACGGGAAAACACAATAACTGTTTCTATCGTCGCCCTTAGAAATTCACATGCCTAACAAGTAACACTGGCTAAACCTTAAGAGATACATCAAAACAATGTACTAGAAAATTGTAGGTAATACGGCCCACAGAATAGTCCCCAATAGCATAACTTTTTCTCTTAAAGTACACTCGCAATAACTATTTATATCTATTTAAAACGTATGTACTTATCTTCCGCACGGCACCCAAGAGAAGCCTAAGTCGCTAGTATAATATTAGGTATATAAGAATTTTTTAGTTAGAATAATCACCTCAAGTGTACTTCGTCGCAGTCGCCTACAGTAGTTTAGCCAGTCTTCCTGACCCTCGGGGGAGCTGAGTTCCAAGCATTTGTCTCTTTCTAACTTATCCTCAGATACGAGAGCGAGAAGAGAAAAGTGATATTGCGTCGGAAACGCTTTTAAATCCCAATACTGTTCTGCTATCTCATATAATGTCAAAGGTTGTTGTAGAAAATCTGGTACTGGCATGTCTAAAAATATGAAAACATCGGGGTATTAACAATTTAATTGTCTATACATATAATAAAATTCCGAGTCGAATCTGTACATTAAATATTTTTTGAAAAAAATTATAGAAATAGTAATTATTATCAATAAAGAGGCCGAATCTATAGTTTTTAGAATTTTTGTCGTCTGTCCATGACCGCATCGCGGAAAAACGCAGTGGAGGGATTTTGATGAAATTTGGTATGATGATAGCTGGTTATCCGGATCAACATATAGAATACTTTTTACTGCAGAAAAATATCTCATCTCTGAGAAATCTATACTAAACGGTAAAACGTAAGCAGGGAAGAACCCGAGCGGAGCGAGGGTGAGTCGGTAGTCTGTCATATGTCCCAAAAGACACTGAAAGTTTGTTATTATATTCATTTTCCGACTATTTGTATTACGAATGGATGAAACCTAATGTACAAATATGACCTGGACTAACACAAAGCTACTGTTAGTAATAATATTTGCCAAAAGATGGCGCCGCTTGTAAATATTAAAAATATAAAATGTAAACTAGGGACGCACTAAGTCACTAGTAAAAAATGTAATTTCACAAATAATGCTAGAAAATGTAGACAATCATAAAAAATTGCTACAGGTAAATCCTACTTTATAATAATTTCAAGAACTGTTATGAATTTTAAAGCCAAAAAGTTTATTTACACCATTAGGTAACATTGTTAACTTTTTTTAAGAGAAAGATCTCAATACAGCCATTTGTTAAGAAAAAGCTGTACAATGACCTACATCTATACAGCCAATGTTTTTTTTATAATAATAATAAAACCATTTTTTTAATAGTAATTAAAAAGCATTGGTGAAAAAAAATTAAAACACTAGATTATTTAAAAAAAGAAATATTTATTTATTCATCTTCCTGCCACCCATCTTCGTTGCTCAGGAACCTTCTCTTTGCAGCTGTATTCATGTACGGACGGAGAGCCCATTCAGTCTCCGCTGCATTCAACGCTTCTAATGTACCGAGTTTGATTTCATACAGCTTCATTTGGAATCTGGGTCCAACTTCGGTTAGCTCTATATCTTTACCGGCCTAGAAAAGAAAAACAATCAGATTAAACAATAAAATTATAATAATCTAATAAAAAAATCAATTAAACAACTAAATACACAATCAGCGATAAGAAATTTCCATTTAAGGTTTAAATTACATTCTTGTATCAGTCCTGGAATGCGTAGCGGTAACTTCCCAACGAAATGAAATCCTCGAACCGGTGAGGTCGCTCCGCGAAGCCTGTGAAGCTCCCAGGAAGCTTTTGTGCTTTTGGACGGAGTTAGGCTGGCTGAACTAGCCAGGATTCGCAACGAACAACGGACCAAATGCGAGTCTAAGTGCGGAAATCGAGTCCATTATACAATACATTCTTGTATAATTATTTCAACTTGAATAATTACTTTAAGAATTGGTAACAGTTTAGAGAGAACTTTTGCATGAGATTGTGTATTTAGTATTTTTTGATTGATGTAATCTAGCTATTATAAATGTGAGCATTTGTATGTGTGTATACATATGTTAGTTTCTCCTTCACGTTGAAATGGTTGATTTAGACGAAATGTAGTACACAGACAGTCTATGACTTATGACCTAGAGTAAAACATAGGCTACTTCCTATCTATATAGATAAATAAAATTAAAGTGTCCATTTATAATGTCAAAATAAAATCTTTTTACAAAATGCTTAAGAAATTATATACAGTACTTATAAGAAAAGCACAATTCTTAATTTTTTGTTCCTGTCTGTTTGTTCTGGCTAATCTCCAGAACAGTTGGACTGATTATGAAGGGACTTTCGCTGGCAAATAGTTGAAGTTTAGAAAAAGAATTAGGGTCCCGCTCAAAACAATTAAAACGTACCTAGGGATGCACGTGAATGAAGCAAGGGTAAGTCGTTACTAGTAAAATAAAGTTACCTTTCTATATGTATGTTGTCTAAAACAAATGTAATCATCATTGTTAGCAAACGTTATTACTCTTTTGGAGTCTGCTTTTGGTACTGGGAATAAATATTTCAAGATGCTCATAGCTCTTAAACCTGTTAATTAAAAAAAACAATAATGAAATGAAAAATAAACAAAAGCTATTTGGCACCAATATTACAGTAAATAAAGGAGTAAAGATAGCATGTTCAACAGTATTTCATCAATAAGAGCTAAAACAAAAGCCATTCTTCATCTGTTTATATATGAAATGGATTCCAAAAATTCATTAGCACTTTCCAATATTAAGTCCAAAATATGGTTAGTGAGAAGCAAGAGGCAAAATTTTTAAGAAAAAACATACACATAAACAATTTTTCTATATAATATATAATGATTAATGATGATTACCGAGATCTGTTTTAAAGTTGTGGAATATGAGGTGTGGGTATTGTTCACTCATTGGCCCTATATCTGGTATGTCGTGGCGCATCACTACCCCTGACAGTGTAAAAGATGCTGTGGGTCCATATGGAAGATGACATATTACCTGCAAAATATAGTTTTAATTATTAACTTATAGAGATTGGAAACAAGTTTTGTACAAATTTTTAGAAAACTTACCAAACTGTCCGGCACACCTCTATGTTCATGAACAACAATGAAATCTGTAACATCATTAGCTCGGCAGGCATGTATCAATTGTGACATTTCATAGCCACCCCTATTCATTCTTTGACTGTTCGGAAATATTAATCTGTAATTACAATATTTTTTATAACTTATTATCTGTACAGATAAATAAAATTGAAGTGTCTGTTTGTAATGTCAAAATCAAACAGCAGCAAAAATCAACAGCTTTTTACTAAAATTATAAACAGTACTTATAAGAAAAACACAATTTTTAAAATTTTATGGGCCTGTTTGTTTTGGCTAATCTACAAAATGGATGGACTGATTTTGACGGGACTTTCAATGGCAAATAGCTGCTATTATAAGGAGTAACTTAAGCTAATTTTATTTTAGAAAAAGAATTGGTTCTGCTAGAAAAAAAAGATAGCTGGGGACTGATACATCAGAGCAAAGCGAGGGTAAATCGCTATTTTAATCATATTTTACAAATATTTTATTTTAAAGAATTTGTTATAATACTATTATTAGGTCTTATGCTTCATATTATAAAACATTAATCAAAAGTTTGTGAGCCAATTAATTAAAACATCTAACCTTAACTCCTTTACAAACATCTTCAATCTTGCACTAGGTTCTCTGGAGGTAGTTATCATGATCTTAGGATCTTCAACTCCCGCAAACCTGTATTCATCATCTTGGGAGTTTAGTGTATTTGCTCCACCACTAATGCCCCCAATAATAGCTGCTCTTTCAGGGCCTACAATGAATTATTGTCCAATATGTTAACACAGAACAATTTTATAATGAATTGTCAGTAACAAGCATTATAATAATTATTATCATATGTTGTTATTATGATTGGAGTAAAAATGTAATAGGAAACCAATATTTCATAGAATCTTTAACAATTATTAATGAAAACTTACCTTTGTCTTCAAATTCGATTCTTTTTTGTAGAGCAAGCGCTTCTTTTCGTAAATCACCATGAATTGGAATGTTTTCTTCCAAACTTTTTTTCAATTGATCTTTTTTAGCCTGAATACTCTTTTGTTTTTCTTCAGCAGACTTCCTATACAAATACTCACGGCGCAAGCGCGCCTGCCGTCGAAGCATAATATATTTTGTTTTTATAGTCGAATTTAATCAATTCTTCAAAAACAACTTCACATGGCCAAGAAATGTACAAATTATTGACAAATGACATCTAACAAGTAACAAGAACAACGTTGACATTTGACAGTTATACGCACGTGTTGATTTGACAGCACCATTTTGTTTATGGTTAAAGTGATTTGTCTATGCAGGTTTAAAGCTGGTTATTACTTATTATTATTTTATATAGAATTGTTATACATATCGATATACACGTTCATACAACTTTTCATAATTTATAATTATTATTGTTAAAAATAATCTTACAATAAGTACGAAAAATACTCTGATATCATTTTACATGCAGACAGATCTTCTCTTTTAATTGCCGAAAAAAGTACATAAATATATATTCTTAATAAGTCATTTAAAATTACCTAACAGATTCAAGCGCGGATCCAGGGGGGCGTCATGGGGGTTATAACCCCCCCCAAACACAAATATACTTTTTAGAGAAGTTTGAAGTCTAAGAAAGGAAGGAATAAATGGATAAACATTTCAATTTAAAAATAAATGGTTATTATATGTATTTTGAAATTTATATACCCCTAGTTTCATGAATATCAAAAAGTTTTTGCAGAAATCTATATACATATAATAAAATTGTAACTAAGTCGAATCTGTACATTAAACATTTTTTGGAAAATCTAATTGAAATAGACATTATTATCCATACAGAGTCCGAATCTAGAGTTTTTAGAATTTTTGTCTGTCTGTTTGATGATTTTGATGAAATTTATATAAAGAATATTTTTCGATAAGATGTCACAGCAAGCTAGAAATTAAAAAAAAAAACTATTTTTCAAAGTTTTTTGTTCCTTATATACAGCCTATGACCCCTCCCAAAATTTAACTCTGGATCCGCGCCTGAACAGATTTCATGTTAATAATGATTTTATTGATAAGTAATACAAAACATACCATCATGACAAACTTCAACTAGCAGTCGGTAGTATGGTTTTATGTCCAAATTGTGAGTCAGGAATATATCAAAAAGGTCTTCAATATCCTCCTTACTGTTTCGAGGCCTAATGTTAAAGATATCTCCTGGTCGATAATCAATATTATTGTCACCTACAGTTTTAAATTTTATTAATCTAACATCCTGAAAAAAATATTACTAAAATTTATTTTAACATCACAAAGCATTCTCAAAAATAATATTAGGTATTAGAAACAATGTTTTCCTTAATTAACAATATTATTTCCTTAACAATTCTAATTTTATAAATGTGGCAAAATTAGTTTCTTTTCAGCAAACATAATTTTTATTACAAAAAAGTTTAGTTTTTAGTAAACCTGAAAATGTGACTCCTCTGTGGTCCTTATATTTTCCTTTAACTCAAATTTTATGGAATCTAAAAATTGATTAGTGTGTCCCTTTTCATAATAAATGTCATCACTAAGGGTAGTACCATTGACATATTCAGTATTTTTTAGTAACGAGACTTTCCATTTTGGAATAAAAGAAGATTCAGTTATATCAGTTTGTAAGTTAGGAAAATAAGACTTCATTGCAGTTAAGAAGTTTTTCACCCAAGGAACCAAAACTGCATCATGACCTAGGTCATGTTGATAGTCACATAATCCTAAAAACATTTGAATTATATAAAGTTATATTATGTTTCAATTAACAAACAAATAATGTTTATATCAATTAAATTAGAATATGATAAAGAAATTAGTATTATTCATTATTTGAACGAAATTTAAAAAGAATAAGGATATTAGTAAATAAAGCGGTTATAGAAACATAATGATCAAAAATTTGAGTGGTAAATTATATAAAATTTTAATTCTTACCGATTTCTATCAGTGGTTCAGCTCCAAGTTGGAGCAGTCTTTTGTGAAGTTTTTTAGCCGCAAAATTAAATTTAGTGTATGAAGAATCTCCTAAGCCAAGAACGCCAAATTTTACTTTACATAAAGAATTTGATGGTAGGTTCTTTCTCAGAAGAAACCTCCAGAATTTTTTCATATTGTCTGGTTCATCTCCCTGTCCTGTTGTAGCACACACAAAAAGTACAAATTTTTCATGAATGAGTCGAGATATAGGATAATTATCCATTGGCAGAACGGGTCCTTTAAAGCCTACTATTTTCATCGTGCGCCATATTCGTTCAGCAGATTCTTGCGCAGTGAAAGTTTGACTTCCATAAAGTATTAAGAGTCTGCCTATTTCATCCATTTTATGCACAAGATATGAATTACTATGAGAATAAATAACTATGGAAATTGCAAAATATTTTCTTGTCAAATTTCAATCTCTGACAAAAGTTGACAAGACTCAGCTGACATTTCACAGACTAAAATTCATTACAAGAAACAGATATTTTACATATACGCATGTAGTCATGTACTATGTACCTATATGAGAAGATGCATTTCTCTAGCCTTATGCTTTAATGTTTTATTTAATATTTTTTCTCATATAATATGTTTTCTTATATATTTATTTTTAATAAATCATTAAGTAAAAATCTCCTCCTGACCCGTTTCGGCCACGGCGGCCAATACTACTGTCTCGCCAACTGCGCAGGAGATATTATAGCGCACAAGTGTATGAGCAGACACAACATGCACTCTCTTGCAACGTGTATTCTTTTTACTCTCAAATTCCGATGGGACGATAGATAATATGACCGATGAGAGGACGCAGGATCGATGACTTCATGTGCTCTCCGAGGCACGGTAGTGAAACACCGCCAACTTCCCAAATTCGAACTGTTACTGGAACTTTATTTACAGAAAGACTCAATAACTGTACTTGGCCCGACCCTGGCATCAAACTCAGGATCAGGGTCATACGTCAAACCATGTTTGTCAATCATCTTTTCATTCATCTAACACTTGGGCTTTACTCTGTACGGCCAATGCAAGCACAGAGCAGCAAGGCAAAGCAGGCATGGAGAATATTATAAGTATTTTCCTCCTGGGTGTTTAAAGATCTTGGCGTTACCATTTACGGGATTATAATAACTAGCGACTCACTCTCGCTTCGCTCGGGGTTTCCCTAGTGAAAAACAACGAGTCTACCCTATTAGAATCGCACATTTTTTCGCGATTAATAGTAACCTATGTGCTATTCCAGACTATAATCTATCTGTGTGCCACATATTTGTCCAGATCCATTCAGCTGTTTCGATGTGATGCAGTAACAAACATCCATCCATTCAAACTTTCGCAATTCATAATATTAACTAATTAGGTTTTACATATTAGTATACTCTTATACATTGCTGTTTTTGTATTTATTCTCAGAAATGAGACATTTTCCCGCACTAAAAAGTATCCTATATGTTGTCCCGGATAACCAGCTATCACCATCCAAATTTCATCACAATCCCTCCAGTGGTTTTTCTGTGATGCGGTAACAGACAGACAGACAAAAATTCTAAAAACTTTAGATTCGGCCTCTGTATCGATAATAATGTTTCTTTGAATTAGATTTTCTAAAAAAATATACAGATTTGGCTTAGTTACAATTTTATTATATGTATGAACTAGCGACTCACCCTTGCTCCGTCTCGGGTTCGTACCTGATAACCCGTGACCCGGATTATCTGCTATCATTGTACCAAATTTCACCAAAATCTTTCGAACAAACAGACTAAAATTCTAAAAAATATAGATGTGGCCTCTGTATCGATAATATTGACTATTTCAATAACATTTTCCAGAAAATATTTAATGTGCAGATTTGACTCAGTTTGAAATTTATTATATATATATAGATAATGGGATAGCCATTATTATTTATTACAATTATTAATAATAAACATGAAGGAATATGTACTTTCCTTATCGTTTTAAGGTTGTTCTGTCTGTCTGAGCCTGGAGCACATCGAGCAATAAAATGTCCATGTAGTAAAAAGGTTGACTCTCATTGACTCCTTGGATTTACTTGTACAAGAAGTTCACATTGGTTTTTCCATTATATACTCTATAAATTACATTATCAAAAGGTCTCTCGCCACCATTGATGAGATGATTGGAAGAGACCTGAAGCTTTGTGGCTGGTTCCTTGAGAAAAAGCTTTGTAAGTCGCTAAATGCGCATACACATTAGCCCCGTCTCTAACTCAACTCCACCAATCACAACATGTGAGATTCATTTATTTTTATTGTTTGGATTTCCATAATTTAATGATTATATTTAATGAATATTAATAACATTTTTATGTAACACCAACCAGCTTAATGTATGAGATGATGAGTTAGTATTATAAAAAATATAGCAATAAATCTTAGTATTGTTTTTTATAGGTATATATATATATTAAGTTATAGCTAGGTAATACATATATTATCAGGCCAATTTGATAAATATAGTAGTCTACCGCCAGGGAAAATTTAAATAAAATCGATTAAGCGAATTTTAAAGGACGTTTTGAATTTTGATCCATTTCAAAAAGGTGCAGTTACCCAATTCGACGATTTTTTTTGTGTCATATCGATCTTCATAATTACGTTTTTAAAAATGGGTATTCTCCAAACATGGTTTATTGGTATAATTATATTAAAAAAAAAACATATTCCACCCCTAAAATAATTACTTTAAAGTGAATTCGGAATCGGAGTATATATATTTTTTTGTTATAATTTAATTATTATAACAGCGATTTTAAGCGTCGACTTTATGTTTATGCGGTGGGAAATCTCTTCCTTCCCCAGAAATTCTCTATCTGCACCGTCAATATCGCTCACTACTTCTGTTTTGGAATAGTTGATCGGGATTTGATACCTACCTAGGTTTCTTGCAAATATATAAATGAGCACAATATGAGGAATACATATATGTAGGCCATAAATAAATACTAAGCATTAAGTAATTAAGAATATTATTTATTTTGAATTTATAAAAAGTGGTAAAAATCGGTAAAATTTCGTTGGATGTTCACGTGTACACCTAAAACAAAATTAAAAAAAAATCAACGTCACACAACCCCTTTTCACCCCACACGCTCAATACGATTGTTGTATCTCTATTGCTCTCGAGCATATATTTTCCCATCTCGCTTCAATTTGGCGCACGGCAGTCTCGCGAGCCCACTTGGCGGGCTTAGTCGTTTGAATCGAAAAACGCGGGAAATTTTGTGGCATATTTGTTTTATGGTGAAAATATATTTTTAAGGAATAAAAATGTAAGTATATTTGTTACATATTTTTTTCCATTTATTCTACAATAATTTTATATCTATTGTATTGATTGATTTTATACTTTTAAATGCATGTTTACTCAGATGCATTTGCGTCATTTATTTTTAATTAAATATTTATAAATTATTGATGGAAATATTAACATAATAATTTCATTAAATTAATTAAAATATGAAAATAATAAATAAACAATTTTAAGCACATATTTATGGAGATAATGAAAAGAGCGCAATCGCATTTTAACTTTTAAGCAAGATGTTGTTTTAATTACTGTAATTATATTTTGATGTAAACTATATAATATTTTTATTATTTATTTGTATAGTTGTTTGTCATTAATTAATTAATAGTTATAACGTAAAAATGTCAATGCTGTTGAAGTTAGAATGTTTGAAAGTTTACGCTCGTCTATGAAATTAATTATTTTAAAAAGACTTTAAGAGATTTCTACTTATTTAGAACTTGGTAAAATGACAAAACATAATTTGCCATTTGTGATACATTATGAGATACAAAATTAAAATAATATAATTTCCATAATTTATTCATAAACACGATAGTCAACATTTATTATTCTTATTTTTATATAATTTAAATAATCTATAAATAGCATTAAATTATTTTGAACAAGTTATCGCCGGTTCTTTTACGAAATTTTAAAATTACTTTAATTACCGATTGAGGATTCTGAGAAAATTTTGAGAATGTATAAAAAGCTGACTTTCAAGTTTAACGGCCTAAGTCCTGCATGACGCAACATTCGGCGTAACTTAACAAAGGTATGACGTCAAAGAATTTAGCCGCCAATCAATAATTTACGAATATAATATAAAAAAAAAAATCTAATTATAAATAAATTAAATAATTGTAATAAAAAAATAAACATTTTATGTTGTCGACATCTGGCGCATGCAGTTTGTTATCACAATGCTTTATTAATAAAAAATCACATAACGAAAACTTATTTATGCCATTTTTTAGTCCTAGGAGTTAGTGCTTTTTGTTTTAGTTTTTTTCACATTAATTTGTTAAAAATTGGTATACTTAATGACCCTATTTTTATAATTTTATATTTGTTCTTATTATGAGAAGTTTATATTACAATATTCGTAAAATCATTAAATAAATTTATTTTAAAATATAAGAATTTTTATTTTTATTAAAATTAAAGGTTTTCTTTCACCTTTCCGCTTTGCGTCTATTTAAAGATGAAAAGCATTCTGCCCACGTGGTATCGATCTGTACCGGTGGCTGTGAGCCGCCTACCCAGATTACGGTTTGATCGTGAACGTTGCTAGGGTTAATTTTTTTTTAATATTTTAATTATATTTTTTTATACAAAATTATTTTATAAAATACATAATTTACGTCTTTCAAAAATATTTATATATGATAATTATGCCATGGTCATTTTATTTTAAACATTCCATATTAACTATTCAGCCACATGAGTAAATATTTTTATTTAGTTATACAAAAACTGTTTAAATATAAAATGGATCGAATTTAATCAAATTTGTAATCTTCTTTTTTATTATTTAAATAAGAATGCTAATGGCTCTCATATCCAATCATAATAAACATAATACGAACAATATCTAAGATGATAACCACGAGGCCTCATTGATCCACCGCCCACGAGATGCCCCGGCTCTGCTCGGCTCGACCTTTGACCTGAAACACTTTCAAACCTCCGTGACCTTTTATTATCTGTATTATAGGATAATCTTACTTTTACCAGAATACTTTCTTAGATTTACTCGAATATTTGATATTTTTAAATCAAACAACTATTTTTAAAAGTTTTTTAATGTTTTTGATATTATTTTTTTTATTATTATTATCAATACATATTATAAAATAAAGGCTCCCGCTGCGTCTGTCTGTCTATCTATCTGTTTGTCTGAACACCATAAACTCAAAAACTACTTAACGGGTTTTCATACTGTTTTCAAAAATAGATGACGGAGTGATTCATGAGAAAGGTTTGGGTGTAAAATTGGGTGTAAAACTAATCCGAATCTGTACATTAAATATTTTTTGGAAAATCTTATTGAAATAGACATTGTTATCGATACAGAGGCCGAATCTATAGTTTTTAGAATTTTTGTCTGTCTGTCTGTTACCGCATCACAGAAAAACCACTATAGGGTTTTTGATGAAATTTGGTATGATGATAGCTGGTTATCCGGGTCAACGTATAGGAACAACTTTTTACCGCGGGAAAATATCTTATTTCTGAGAAAAAATATAAAAACTGCAATGTAAGAGTATACTAATATGTAAAGCCTTAGAATTTGGTTTTTGGTCATCTGAACGCGGGCGGAGCCGCGGGCAATACTAGTAAAATTATAAAATTTCAGTCATTCTATTAGTAACGTTGTTTGCTTCTCTTTTTTAGTCACTAGCTTGAATAAATAGATCTATAAAATGTTAAATCTCTTAAGAAATGAAATAATTATTATTTACATTTACTCTATGAATAGTTCGTAGCATTGCTACGGCCTCGGTAGTGGTCTCGTAAGTCGTAGCGTAACCGTTTGGAATTGGATTATTTACATTGAAACTGATCCGCTTCTGTTAGAAGAAAATTTTGCAATGGAAATATTATTTTGTTATTATGGGGTTTTGCGATTTATTCCAATATTTTTTTGTGTTTATGTTAAAGTAAAAAGAAACGAATTCTAAGTTTCATATTTTTTTAAATATTTAGAGATTATAAAAATAGCTATATTTATAACTAGCGACTCGCCCTCGCTTCGCTCCGGTCCTTCCATAGTAAAAAAAAACAAATATAAAAATAGAAAATAGCCTATGTGTTATTCCAGACTATAATCTATCTCTGTACCAAATTTCATTCAGATCCGTTCAGCCGTTCTGGCGTGAAGGTGTAACAAACATTCATACTCACAAACATTCACATTTATAATATCAGTTAAGATATTTAAATGTCTTCAATAAAAATGTACAATTCTCTGATTGATGTTTTAACAACTTCGCATCGCTGTCCGTAGGTTAGAATATTTTAGAATTTACTTAAATATTTATAACATATTGAAATACTGATTTTTAAAGCTTACTGCTCAAATAACATCTAAGTTTATTGAAAGAAAATAATTTTTAACCATCTCGATATATTTTTAGAATAATTTGTTTACTGGTGACCACGAGTAGGTAGATATTGTCGTTCAATAATACAGTACAGCTGGCTTCACAAACAAATATGCTTAAGTCTTGTTATAGACCTTTTGTTACGCCTCGTCGTACAAAGCTGTGAGCATTGAATATAGCGAGTTCCCAGATGTTCAATAAATTCAAAGGAATCTTTTAACAAAACGAGTATAAATAAAGAAGGGGTCACACAAGGACGTCTTTACGGACCCTTATTTTTCAAACTTTACACTTCTAGTAGTTTTTGACTTTTTAAATGTAGGTATGTTAGTTAAGTTTTCATTTTTGGTCATAATTAAGAACAATTAAATGATTTAAGCACTTTTTTGGTTTTTAATAGTGTTATTAACGCTGTGAATATGTAAAATTTATACGAATAATCAAATTAGTAGAAATTTTGAAGGTCACACATCATATCTTCTTAGAAATAAAATGAATGGCTAAATGTGTAGCTAAGTTCACAGCTCGAGAACAGCTGCACCAATTCGGCAATTTTTTTTTTCAAATATTCGTTGAAGTCCGAGGGATTATGAAGAGAAAAACCGTAAAAAATTCACAGTAAAACGTACAAATCACATTTTTCTTTTCCTTACTACTACTTTATAATTATGAACTAACCTTAAAATTAATATAATTGTTTGTTTGTTCTTCTTTCAAATCGAAACAGAGTGACGAATTGGCATGAGTTTTTGTATGGAGATAGTTGGAGGGCTGAAGAATGAAATAGGCTACTTTTTACCGCGGGTTATTACCTCATTGTCCTGAGAAAACACGTTATAATACAACCCACAACAACTCATCATACCTATGTATATACATATATATATATATATATATATATATATATATATATAATATACGAGTAGTCTATGTATTCCATACTAACCGTTAAAATGTACCTAAGGACGAACCCGAGCGAAGCAAGATTGAGTCGCTAGTATAAAATATAAATAAAAACAAAGTGTAATTATTTCATATCAGGTGTCACGCGATAACAGTAGATCTGTTTCTGCTTTAGTTCACTGCAATTTGGAATTATGTATATTACAAACAATAAATAGGTTATATGCGTATTTTTTTTTAATTCTTAATACAATAGTTTACATAATTTTATAATTGTAAAAAAATATCAAGCTCCTAAAAACTAAAATTTAGTATAAAAAAATTTAAATTATCAGACCGATATGGATACTTTTAGTGCCCCCCATTTCGCATTGCGTGACGTCACAGTATGATATACATAGTAAAATGACGACGCAATATGTAGCGACAAAATCACTAATCACTCTGTTATGATATACTCTGACGTCACATTCGGTCTGACCAATGGCGTTGCGTTTCAACTACTTTGAATTTTCCACTTATATTTGCACTTTTTAATAATTTTCTTAATCAAAAAGAAATGACATTAAAAATAATGATGATGATGATGTTCTCCTGACCGATTCCGGCCACGGCGGCCAATCTCATTGAGACTAGCCAACTGCGCAGGAGATATTATAGTGCACAAGTGTACGCGCAGACACAAGTGCACTCTCTATTCCTGTCACTCTCATACTCTGGTGGGACGACCACTCGACACGACCAGTGAGAGTTAAGGCGCAGGACCGACGGCTTTACGTGCTCTCCGAGGCACGGGGGTGAAACACCTCCAACTTCCCAACTCCGGGCTGTTACTGAGGCTTAATATACAGAAACACTCAATAACTAAACTTGGCCCGACCCGGGACTCGAACCCAGGACCTCCGGGTGTGCAGCCGTACATGCTAGCCACTACACCACCGAAGCAGTTGCTTATTTAATTATTATTTAATTATTATTATTAAAAATAATAATAGAGGCTTAATTTAAAAGCAATAAAAATTATAAAAAAAATATTTCGACTTTATTTCAATCACACGCATATTCCCTATTAGATAGAGTTTCCCTATTAGATTAGAATATTCATATTAGATACCTATTAGATATTCATATCTTAAAATATTGTCGGCTGGTATCTATCCTAAATGAAAACCTCCGTTTATTTATTTTTTACATTTTAATGCCTGGAAGTCTGTTTTTATTTAAAAAAATATTTTTAAAAGTTTTTATTTGTCCATTTTTAGTGTAGATGTAATAAGCAGGTAATTTGTTAGAAGAAATTTTTAATAACATATTAAGCAATTTATTCAAAAAAATAATTTATTTGTTGATTTAAAAAAAACGCTTGACCGATTTCGATAAAATTTATATGGGACCACCTGGGAAGTATACCCTTTGAAACAAAAAAATATATTTCCAAATCAGTTCAGGCGTCTTCGAGTAATCGGCGAACACACATAAAAAAAAGATTCCGACGAATTGAGAACCTCCTCCTTTTTGGAAGTCGGTTAATAAGTAGAGAGTATACTCGGAGAGAGAGAGCTGGTGGCAAATAGCACAGGATAGAGAGAACTGGGCATCTTTGGAGGAGGCCTTTACCCAACCTGGGGACCTTGATTAATGCAAAAAAAAAACTAGAAATTAACCGTTTAGTATAATTTAGTATGTATTAATAAAAAAAAATAATATAATAATAAGTAAGTATACCTAGCAATTAGAAAGAAATTAAATTAAATTAAATTATATTTATAATTAAATTTAGTAATTAGCAACTAAGATGAACTACTGTAGCTTGGTCAAATAAAGGCTTTTTTATTTTTATTTTATTATACTTGGAGAAGATCGAGTTTATCGGAAAAGATATTAAAATTGCGTTTTTTTTAAATACACCTAGCTTATAATGCAAAACCTTATCTAAAATCTAAATACAAAATTTGATCCAAATCGTTAGAGCCGTTTACGAGATACACTAAATAAATTATATTATAAAATTATATCTCTATTATCGCAAACTATGGACTAAGTACTTAATTCTCTTGTTTCAGGTCTCCTAAAAGTAAAGCATCTGAGGAGGATTCTAATCCAGAAGCTCTTAAATCTGATTCAGAACAACCAGATGATGGAAAAGAAAGTGGGGCTTTGGAAGCCAAGATGTCTTTACTCAATGGTATTACAGTTATAGTGGGTTCGATTATCGGTAGTGGCATCTTCGTCTCACCTACTGGTGTACTAAAGTATACCGGATCAGTTAATGCTAGTCTTTTAGTTTGGGTGGCATCGGGTATCTTCAGTATGGTAAGACGTCATTTTTCAATTTTATTTTAAGTTTTGCTTTTAAAATAAACTTTTAATACATTCAATTAATTTTTTTTTATTATTTTTTTATTTAATGTGACTATAAGAAAAAAATGTACAATAAACACATATTAATGTGCATTGTGCACGCATTATTATCATTGTTATTAAAAAAATATTATTATTTTTTGTGTTATCTATACATATAATAATTTACTATAAAATCTAAGTTTTAATCACTCGTTTTAATAAAAAGGTTTAACAAAACGACAATGGGTTAGTTAGTTAGCCATGTACTAGATTAAATTTCGTGGAAATTGTATTTTTTAATAAATTGAAATCAATTGAGACATGGAAGATGTAAATTACTGTTATTTATTGATAATGATGCATAATTGATCTGAAGTAGGTACCAGCATATTCCCGCGGATCTGCCTGCGTTGTTATACCTGCATAATTAGTCATACATAATGAATTATGTATCTATATCTGTCTTTAAAAACTGTTTCGGTGGTGTAGTGGCTAGTATGTACGGCTGCAAATTTGAAGGTCCTGGGCTCGAGACCGGAGTGGGGCAAGTTTAGTTATTGTGAACCGTTCTGTTTAGTTAGCCTAAGTAACAACTCGGAGTTGGGAAGTTGGCGGTGTTTCATCCCGGTGCCGCGGAGAGCACGTAAAGCCGTCTGTCCTGCGCCTTAACTCTCACCGTGTCGTGTCGAGTAGTCGTCCCACCGGAGTATGAGATGACAGGAATAGAGAGTGCACATTTTGTCTGCGCGTACACGCGCTGCACTATAATATCTCCTGCACAGATGGCTGGTCTCAGTGAGATTGGCCGCCGTGAAATCGGTCGTAAACATAATAAAACAGTAACTTAGCGAAATCGACGTGCGCGTCTCACGCATAAAGTACTAAACCGATTTTAATTAAATTTTGTGTAGTGGTAACTTATTACTCGGGTCAACATTTGGTATACCTTTTCCTACAGGATAATCTTTAATTCCTACAGGAAAACAGTAACTGATTCTATCGAGTAGTTCTTAAAAAACACGTCTAACGCTGGCTAAACCATAAGAGGTACATCCAAACAATGCACTAGAAAATTGTAAATCTTAACAAGCCCTGCAGAAAAATCTGCAATAACATAAGTCTTTCTCCTAAGGTACACTCACAATAACTATTCATATCCATTTAAAACGTACCTAGGCGCACCCGACACACACAAGCGAAGCGACAGTAAAGCCTAGTTCGCATTAAGCTAGTATTTTAGTCTAGTAGCGAGTAATTTAGTAACTAAACGTGTCTGAACACTAAAAATTTAGTCGATTAGTTTAGTAAGTAATTTAGTCGAGTCAATCCATTTTATTCTATTTTTTTGGGCGAGTAGCAGCCCCCACCACGCGTCCGAGCTCACTGGTTCACTGGCTAAACAAGTACGAACCTGTCGAATTAGTCGAGTTCATTAGTTGCCGCCAAACTTCGATGATGAATTCGGAAGCAGTTGATTTTCCGAGTCTAAATATATGTGTGAGTGTCCTTAAACTACATCCAGTGGCAAGAAAGTATAGAACTGCTTGTAATTTTGTAATTGTAGGAATCGCACTTCTTAACAGAGTATCTTTACGCTGAATTTGAGAGTGTATTTTCATTAACAGAAAATTTACACAACTTTCGGACATTCTCAAACTATCGAAGTATTCTTTGGGATCTTCCAATGCTAATTCCTTCAGAAGACAATTAGTAGCTCCTAGTTTATCTCATCTTTCGATCCATTTTCGTACCCATAGCTTCTTTTTATTAATCACACAAATTTCTTCATCCACCTCTTCTAAAATAGCCGTTACGATCAGCTTAATCAGTTTATTTACTTTATTGATTTGTAGGCTGTTCATCTTGCAAAACACCACTCACTTGTAAACTGTACTCGACCAAAGTGCGAACGATTTTTGGTGAGTAGCGAGTAATTTAGCTACTAAATTACTCGCTACTAGACTAAAATACTAGCTTAATGCGAACTAGGCTTAAGTCACTAGTAAATTAGTAGCTTAATGTACAGAAGACGACTCACTATCGCTTCGCTCATGTTCTAACTGCATCGCATCGAGCTCGCTTTTTTTATGCACTACTTTAGTATACTCGAGTAAAGTAAAAACAAAGATAAACCTCGAAATATAAGGAGGTAAGCTGTAAACTTTTATACACCTTTTCTTTTGGCATACGTAGGCTCAAGAGTCTCTTATAATCTCGTGTCAGCGCTACAAGTTACCAAAGATTAAGGCCCTTTTCGCACTGCGATATTTCACCGTGCGATTTTTATTCTCGCTACATTCCGTGATCGGACTTATTACGCACTGTTCGATGCAGTTCCCGGCTGAGACGAACGCCTTAAATGAATGGTGTCAGAAACATGTTATTTTCCTGATACTACGGCGGCGGCGGTGACGTGACAGACCTATCAAAAGATATCATGAACATTGGATTCACACATTTATGGTCTTGAGAAATCCGCACCGGGTTCAATTTGTATCAAATCACAGATTTTTTTACCGCCATTGCGGCTACTCCTATAATATTAAATGTGCACACACACAAACACACACACACGAACGAAGCTCTACCAACTGTAGAATAGTCGCCGTGGGCCGGGGCCGAAATCGACTAGGAAGAAATCATCATCATCATCAAAGATAGTTTGTCTATTGTGTTCTATTGTGATCTAATGTGTTTTGGAAGAACAGCAGTATATCATTTTATCCTGACTCTGTTTTAAATGTACCTACACATCTGAACGCACATCTGAACTATTAATGCTCTAGGAATAAATTGATTGCTGTGGTGGTGTTATCAGTAAAATTACATCTATTGTTTTGAGAAATGATAATAAAAAAACCGCTAAAATCGTTAATTATTTTATTAGCTATTTATTTTTGTTATATCTATATGCTATTTATATGAATACGACTGCACGAATTTATCCTGCTTTATAACACTATCTCTCACTACCATGGGTTGGCTGGAAGAGATCTCTTCTAGAGATAAGTCCACTTTTGCCAACAATTATTGTTTTTAAATTACTGTATTGATTTTTAAGTGCAATAATAGAATATTAATGGTTTACTAAACTAAGTTAAAAGTGTGGCATTTTATAAAAGAATATTAAATAGATCGTGTCAGGTCAGGGCCTCCTTGCAATCACTTGCAAAAATTCTTAATTTTGCTGTTCGACCTCCAAAGATTTCACTATATTAGTCCACATTCACTTCTAGCTACTGTTATATTAAGTTCTCCTTAAATTGAATTGTCAATGTTATATATAATATATTTAAAAAAAATTTTTCAAGCAATAGTATAGTAATTAAGAGAACACAATTGATAGTCTTATTATCTAGTCCGTAATTAGTGGCTCTTTTATTGTTCTCAAAATTAATTATTTATCTATTATATACATAAAAATCAATTGCTGTTCGTTAGTCTCGCTAAAACTCAAAAGCGGCTGAACCGATTTGAATAATCCTTTTTTGTTTTGTTGGAGATATATCAGGGATTTAAATATAAAAAAAATTGGAAAAATCCATAAGGACAGCTGGAAAATCGAAAAGTTCAGAACTGGTTATATTGTATGGGAATCACTACTTCGGATTACTTTCAATAGTGGTGGACCTACCGTCTACAACAATACGTCAAGTTTAAGTTAGAAAATAATCATATATACTAATATAACAGTATATATATAATAATATATAATAATATAACAGTATACTCGTATAGTCTATCTATTCTATACTAATCGTTAAAACGTACTCAAGGACGAACCCGAGCGAAACGAGGGTGAGTCGCTAGTATACCTATCTATAATTATTTCTGCGAGACTGATAATGACCTCGTTAACGGTACTGTGTCACAATGTTAAGAATATCGACTGGCAGCCAATGGGGTCTAGTGCAAGGATTTAGAATGTTTACTTTATATTAACTGACACTGTAGTGATGCTGTATTTAGCTGTATTTGCTGTTTTTATTGTGTTACAAGGTTCGATAATTTATTTATTTTTTTATAATTATCGATATTGTTTTTTTTGAAATAGTCTTATTTTTTTCAAAAACTTTTCATTTTTGAGAGCTTTTTAATTAGAAAGCTCCCCAAATTATTAAATTTGTTTTAATAATACATTGCTAGGTTATATTAATTGCATTACTTTTTCCCTTCTCTTTCTAAAATAATAATTATTAAATAGGGACATTTTCTAGTTAAATTATATTGAATCAGTTATATAGAATTAACATTAATTTTAAGATAGATACAATGAAAATAATTTCAATTATTCATCAGTATTATTCATTATTTCTTTTGATAGCTTATTACTTTTTAACTTACTGTAAAGCCTCTATTATACGGTTAATTTAACCGAATACAAATAAATGAATAAATTAAAAAAATAGCATTGTGATTGTAAAGAAAAAATATAATGCAGAAGGTGGAGCAAATATCTATGTATTTTTTAAACTAAAAGTTTTTAGATCGATGACGATTTAAAAAAAAAACTTTAAAATTCTTTTATCTATAGATACATTAGCAGCGAGTATCATGGGGCTATATTTTATTTTCAAAACATAAGATCCCTTCGAAAATTGCAATAGTGTTACCAAATATATTAAAAAATTGCCTAAAATACACCAAAAAACAGTCATTATTTGGCGTGTGTAAATAATGTACTATATCCATGTTTATTGTTTATAGTACTCATAATTACCCACAAAAATGTCCGCGAAGCTATATGTCTAACTATTATCGATAATAATTAATCTATACCTAAAGAGGTAATGTTCGTGAGTTTGTGAGGTTGTAGAGGGTAATCTCTGAATCTACGGAACCGATTTAAATGATATTTGGTAAGAAGATAATTTGAGACCCTGGAAAGGACATAGGATACCTTTTATCCCTGAAATCATTCCTTAAGGCGGTGAAAATGGGGATGAAACGTTTGTATGGGGAATCAAGCT